ATTGCCAGGAGAGCCAGAGGAATCCTGGAGAACAAGGCAGATGTAAGGACGCACTATAGAAGATGAAGGCTGTTTGTTGTCTTGCATTATGGATAGTTAGTGAATGTTTTGGCATGGAAGAAAAACTTCCCAAATCACATTTACTACATCTAAATTCAAAGCAGCCTAATTACATTTGTAATCCAAAAGCTCTTGACTTGAATAATCCCATGAGACTGAGCCAGCTTTTGTTTTGGCACCAAAAAGTGGAACCAATTCCCCTTTTTTTCCTTTTAGGTTTAGACACCACAGGTGAATACACTAGAAAAATGGCATAAAACTGTCAAGTGGGGCAGTACCCTAAGGTACAAAAGCTACACTGAAAAAAAAATTGTTGTAGAGACAATTTTCACTCAGAAATTGCACTAAATGAATTACAAAGAAACAAGTGCAAGAAGAACATTGAATGAAATGTGACATTTTGAAGTAGAAAGACTGAAATATTTTCCTATAAACATACTCCAGTAATCTTTGCTTTATTTACAATTTGAAAAAAAAAAATTTTTTACAGTGTAAACCCTAAATAGTACATATTAGTACCTTAAAAGTACCTATTAGTACATAAAGTGTACATATTACAGTAGTAACTTTTAAAACTAACTTTTTAACTGATAGATTTCACCATATTTCCCCTCTTTAAAAAAATGAAATTTATTACATGTATTAAAGATTTTCTGAAATGGTTTCTTAAAATATGCAAATGATCCATTATCTTCCTTATGCACTAAATTCCAGAACAGAAATCTGAACACTGGATAAAGCCAGATTCAAATTTCCTGTTTCCTGTTTTTTTTTTTTTTTTTTTTAAGATTTTTAAAGAAGGGATTTTTTTTCTCTTTTTAACACTTCATAAATCAGACAACACCGACAACGGTCAGAAAATTTCATGTTATTTTTAGGAAAAACAAAATGTTATATAAATCAGGTGTGAAACTATTAAAAATGTGTAAAAATGTAATTTCTATTTTATTTCAGCATTATTCATATGCTAATACTGTTTTTAACATTTCACATTAGATTTTATTTTTATATATTTTTTCAATTTGGTGTGTGTATTTATCATTTTAATAAACAGGTAGGAATAAAACTGTAAAGTTTGGTGTTTGTAAGTGCTACTAAAGTGAACACTTCAGGTGCAAATAGATAAAGTATAATATAATTAACACTTAAATTGGTATTTTGGATGTTTTCTTTCCACTATTTTGAAATGCTATGAAAGCAAAGTAGCCAAAATCTCAAAACTGACCAGTACATAAAAACAATGAGTTTGCCTGTAGTGTCTTGCCATAAAACGGTTTGTCCTAAAAGTAAACTCAGGGTCAGATTAATAGATAGACACCCAGTGAGATTATACTCAAGGGTGGAGGAGGTTGCATGCAACATGCAGCCTTGCGTAAAGGAAATTCAATTTAGATTATTGCACCGGTCTGCTTTTGCCACCCGTGGGACTAAGGAGCTCGAAAATCACAGACCTTTGTGAGTTTAATAAGGAGCTTTGGTCGACTGCAACGTATAATCTCAATGTTGATGAAAAGCACAAATGTGGCGACACGCCCTGAGTTTGTTTGTTCGTTTAATTGTACGAAGCAGCTCACCGCAGGCCCGGGCAGCTCTGTTGTGGAGCCTGAACATGGGAGCTCTCATTTTGAAGTAGCCTTGAGGATTTATTGATAAGCGATTGCTTGTGAAGGCTTATGAAGAGCTGTCTCGTTCGTCAAACGTGCATCCAGCAGAGCCAGCCATTTGATTGGAGCTCAGTGATCTCATAAAGCCTGATTTCTATAAATGGGAAATGGTTCGTTGGTTACCTAATATCTATTTCTGCAGACTTTGATGGAACAGTTGTCTTCGAGACGTTGGCAGATAGTTTTGGATGCGCGGATGGGGCCTCCTGGGAGTTTTGAGTTTCATTTGCAAAATCTGGACAGTCTAATCAGGGAGGTAATACAGTGTGAAGCAGAGGCTGGTTTCGCTTTCTCTGAATCTGCCATAAAAGCAATTTAGCAGCATTTATACTGTAGAATGCATCCATGTAGAGAAATGATTGCACTGTTCTTGGCACACTTTGTCCTCTAATGTCTGGAGATGCTTTTATAGCAACAAGATGATTTTTCCAGAAGTTTAAATACCTATCAGGTATCCTATCAGATTCACAGTTTTCACTATATACTTGCCCTTTGATTCATAATCTATTGGCAAAAACGGCATCCTACTTCAAGGAGAGACTGACTAAACTCACTATGAGACTCAATATGAATGGAGTAAAAATCAGCATATTTTACATTACATTTACATTTTACTTACAAGTACAGTTTGCTTTAATAGCTATAACAACCACAAACACTTAAGGAGACATGTAATGTTTCCTTATTATATCTAATAAAACATTTGAAACTGTGGCACTTAAACTATTACCCGAACAAGCCTCTAAAAGGCATCTGTCTTAATCAAGGAGTTTAATGCTGTTTTTATGTTCAGATGGCTTGGCTTTTAAGCTACTATTTTAAATTAAATGGTAATTTATTGGTGCTTGTGAAGACAACCATCACTGTTATTGTTGCTCATACTTACGGTTAAAGGGGTCATATGATGCGATTTCAAGTTTTCCTTTCTCTTTGGAGTGTTACAAGCTCTTGGTGCATAAAGAAGATCTGTAAAGTTGCAAAGACTAAAGTCTCAAATCCAAAGAGATATTCTTTACAAAAGTTAAGATTCAGCCACACCTACCTAAAATGGCTCATTCTAACATGCCCCCACATATCTACGTCGCTATGTGGAAATATTAGCATAATGCCGCCCAAATGTGCACGCAAAGAAAGAAGGCGTGGTTTCAGGAACAGCAGTAGTGTTGATGCAGCCATGTCAGGGAGACGCTGTGTTTCAGTGCAAAAGCAAAAGCACTTTATTTGGCCTTCCGGAAGTAGATGCAATTAGGAATCATTGGTTAAGATTTATTTACAACAGAACAGCACAACCCAGATGTTCGAATATGTGCAATGCATTTTATGGACGACAGTTTTTTGAACCTAGAAGAGTACAAGGCCCGAGGAACCCTTATGCTCAGAAACGGCCCTGGTTACAATATAAACACATGGAGTTATTTATATCTCATTTACAATAATGTACAGTATTTGAAAAATAATGTGTTTTTTGAACATTAAAGCATGTCAAAATATTCTGTTACACCAAATACACAAAATAATGATCTTTAAAATAGCATCATATGACCCCTTTAAGGATTTGAACCAGCTTTAATTCTAAGTATTAAACTTTGGAATAATTTGCACCGTTTATGCGACGGCATGAGAAATGTGTTAAAAAAATGAACATGGTAGATTTAAGACCTAACTGCACTAAATCTACAGTAGTCCAATTTCATGTCACGTCTGAGGTGGTCAAAATGAGGAAATCTGATCGGAAACATTTTGTTTTCTGCATTAAATTTGCATCCATTTAGTAGCCATTCCAGCGTGTGTAACGTCTCAGAGATTCTGCCAGCAAACCCATCCAGTTGACATATCAATCAGAGCAGTTAGACTTTTACTCAATTAAGTGTTGGCACTAAGCAACTGGAAATCTAATCTATTTCGCATTAGACTGTTTCTTTGTTAATGCTTTGTCCAGTGCATCCGACAGGCCTTGTCTCACCGTGCCAGAGCCATCTAAGATGTGTATTCTTCAAAGCGGGCTGGTCTAGTTTTCCATCTTTAATCTGAATCACATGAGAATCAGATTATGATTCTGACAGTTCTTAAAGCATGTGTTATGCTCTTTGTGGGTTATTTTATGATTTAGAGCATTGCATATTGTCTACATATAAATGACTGATGAAATACATATGAATTTTCTCTTTTGTGAGTCACAGTGATGTTTGAAGTAAAACAGTGTTCCAAGAAGCTTGGCTTGTTCATGTGGGTTCGTTGGGATACAGAATTTCTTAAAAAGGTATAAAGTGCAAATTAATCAAATCCATTTATGGCCTTATGCCCTCAGAGGTGGCATTTTACTGAGGAAAAAAATAGTGAATTGTTTCTCTAGTGTTTTATCCTTTGATCAAGATAATTACCAGAAAACAGATCCCAAATAAAGTACATTTTATGCATTAGCCTGTTCTCGTTCAGTCAGTCTGAACATGTTTTACAACTTAAAAGATTTTACACAAAGGCTTTTTGATTCAACGATACAGCACATTGGGAAAAGGACCATTAAAATGAGCAATCAACAAATTCTTCAGAAATGCCAAGGATTTCCATTTACAACTCTCAGCCCTTAGATAATCAGAAAATGTTTTAAATTATAGGCTAGTCTATAATCCATTAATACCCTTTTCATGCTTAAATGTTAAGTGTCAGATATAAAGTGGAAAACATGAGTAATGATGTATAGTTTGGTATTAGCATCAGAAGGGCGTTGATGCCCATAGGCAAGTTTGAGCAACAGAACATCAGATAAGATCAATGACTAAACGTCCTAAAAAAAAAAAAAAAATTATTTGGCATATTTGATGCAGACCCCCATCCTAAATATGCCAGTTACTTTTTCTTTAGGTAGTAAACAGAACTGCAGAATAACTCTATTGATTTTAGATGAATGCATTCAGTTAACTATTTGACATAAAAAAAACGAAAACAAAAAACAAATACAGTTTAAGAGAAATGCACACAAAAATCTTAATTTTATTATATTAAAGATAAGCTAGATTTAGATCTACATTTCTTATTATTTGTATATTTTAGAAACTTAATAAAGAAAAAAACTGTAGAAAAATACTGAAACACGGTCAGCATTTATCTATAATTAATTATTCTGCATCATCAGAGATTTAATCCAAAACGCAGCGTGTGGAGAACGGAGGGCAGACGTATTCCCCGCCCCCTCATGAATAATGTGCAATAACCCCGCCCCCAAGCGCAGAAGCTGTAGTAGAGCACCCGTATGCGCACGGCGTCTTCATATGATACCAGAACCGCGTCGCTACAGTTGATAGATACGCTGGTCCTTCCGTCTGCAGCTGGACTCTTGATTTATGGTGATCTTCTGATCACAAATCCTTTACATTTGCTACGTGCTGACCGGTACGCACGAAAACCAGGAGTTACTGTTTAATAGGAAAGGAAAACCGAAGGACGAAGCGTTTACACTGGGCGAAGGTGTTCTTCATCTCCAGCGCTTCCCACTATACGGACACCAGCGCAAAAGAGCAGCAGATCCTCATCCACACGACTGCATATCAGCGTAACGGGTAGGTCCAGTCTCCAAAGGACTACATAATATAACATCCAGCGTGTTGACGTGAAATGGGCGATGGTTACGCGTCGTTTCCGAGCGGCGTTCATCGTATTTAATGAATCAATGAACCATCCTTATTGTTTATTTACAACGTTATGAGTAACGGCGGAGTGCTGGGTAGACAGACTTTCAGCTCCAATGTCTCTCCTTTGAAATGCTTGCATGTACCTCCCATAGCCGGAGATGCAGTAGGATCTTATTTGGCAACAGTGTTGCGCGTGCAGTGTATGGCACAGACGCATGGCAGGTTTGGTGCGTGCATTGTTTTAGTAATTAATTAATTATATAATTGATTGTATTATGCATGCATATATATGTAACACTGTACATACATATATGTAATAAAATATATGAACTATTATATAACCACACACACACACACACACATATATGTTAATGTTTGTTTAAATACCCTAATATTACGTAGGGTCCTGGTAAGCCCTGATTTGTTATCATGCAGAGAATGTGTTTGTATCTCATTGGACTTTGGGGTGGGAAACCCTTCTTATGAGCAGCCCTTCATTATTGCATGCATTTATTGCGTATGCATGCAAAATAAATATGGCGAATGGAACAGCACTATTCCTTCTGCATCAGCATTGACTGGGGCACAATGTGGGAATTCAGTTCACAACTGTGTATTTACGTTCTTGGCCTTGTCAGATTTAGATCACTCATTGGCTTTCATGCAGCAGATCACCTGCTTTACTACCACCCTAATGTTAAGGAGTCTTTGCCAGGTGTGGCGCCACACTTTTGAACTTAAGTGCCAAAGAATTTACCTAAACTTATCATTGGCTCATAAGCACATCCTGATGATGGCCCCTTGATTGTGGTTTTTAACGTAATATCCTAATTCCAACAAAGGCTTTTAATTTTATACCTCATGTGAGTGTCGTTTATGTCTTCATAGACTGTTATCCCTTCTTCAGAGAGACTTTGCATTGATGCATAATCCAAAATGATCCCTAAAAATAGGTGTGGTAGGGGTCATACACACGTTCTTAGAAGTGATTAGCATGCTTAATATTAATTTCTACGTGATTGGCTGTCCATAATAGCAGCTGTGGTGAAGTGATTAGGGATTTCCATGTGCCGTCTGGGTTTTGGGGGCTTGAGACTTTTCCACAGAAAATCATCTCAGCTGTTTCTCAACACCGGCAACCACAATGAGAAATGTCTTCCCTGGTCTGGGGGCATCAGCTGAGAAAATCACCCAATCGTAATTAAACGCCGCAAATTGATTCACCGGCTGGCCAGTGTTTGTGTGTGTGTGTGAGTGTGTGAACGAGCGAGCGCAGGATTAATAGGCCCAGGGGTCCTTAACTAAACGCCAGTGAAGTAGGAGGAACTTTTGCTCTTGTTTTGGAGAGAAGAGGTATTTGACAGGTATATTTTCTCATACTCCGCATTTTAACCGCAAGACAAGTGAAATTAAATTCAAAATTGAAGGAAGCATGAAGGGCCGGGAGGAATTGATAGATTTGACACAGTTTAAATTGGTTTTCCCAAAGTTAATTTCAGACCGTGTTGTTTTGACCTCAGACGACAAATAGTGTTGCCACATTTCAGATCAAATCTTGGGGATTCATCTTTCATAACTTCCTTTTACACAACTGAAGAAGAATTCTCTGAAGCTCTTGAAACCTAGCAGACATTCAAGCATGCTAGAATTTGGTCTGCGCTCTCGACTGCAGTCTTGTTTATGTTGAATGTCTCGTAAGGTGATCTATGGGGAAATTTTGGCGTAATCTCATTCTCATAATTTAAAATGAGCATCCTGCGTCATCTGCTAGTTATTCGAGTATCAGACAGGAGGGTCCGTCACCAAGGCAACAAGTCACCACAAAGCCCAGCATGCCAGGTGTTGCTCTTTAACATTTGTCCCTTTGAAGCTTCCGCACCCCTATGGGGACCTTTTATGGGGTCTGTTTTCTGCCTTTTTGCTGCACTTGGCCAGGCATACATTGTTTCTCTGCTTGACATATGAGCGTAGCCAGGATGCTAGTTGGGTGCGGGTTTGAAAATACCCCCCATGAGCTTTTATTGTATATTTGAGAGGACCTATGAAATCCATATTAATTTTCCCCAAATTCTGTGTTTTCTTTTTTAAGTTTTCTGGATTCCTTTTTAATGGTTTAATACATTTTAATAATCAAAAAGGATGTCAAATCAATTAAATTCATAGAACGTTAACAATTTAATTTTTGACATTTTTTAAAATTACTAGTATGCTATGAAATGTTTTATTTTTTCAGAAATTCTGAATTCTGAAATATAGTGACACGCAGAACATGCAGGCTTGTTGTGGTTTAATGTTCGTAGTTTGTGGTCCATATTAAAATTTTATTAAGTGTACAGCCCTGCTTTTGATTTATTCATCAAAATTTTGCCAAATTTTTATGACTGGAATTTGCAATTCCATCTTCATTTTCCACATTTTAGAAATCAAAGGGCCCTATATTTGTGTGTATGTGGGCTAATACACAATGGGCCTCATTTATAAAGCGTGCGTACGCTCAGATTTGATCTTAGAGAGTGCGTATGCTTAAAGGGTTAGTTCACCCAAAAATGAAAATTCTGTCATTAATTATTCACCCTCATGTCATTCTAAAACCGTAAGACCTCCGTTCCTGTTCGGAACACAAATTAAGATATTTTTGAAGCATTCTGAGAGCTCTCTGCCCCTCCCATAGACAGCAATGTAATTACCACAATCAAGGTCCAGAAACGCAGCAAGGAGATCGGTAAAATAATCCATGTGACATCAGGGGTTCAACCGTAATTTTTCGAAGCTACGAGAATACTTTTTCTACGCAAAGAAAACAAAAATAACGACTTTATTCAACAATTCGTCTCCTCCGCGTTACCCTGGTGCCATTTTGGAGAGTATCCACTGAACGCAAACAGCGTATGCTATTCTGTGTCAGCTGTGCCACGCAGATACATTTTCTACGTTGTTTACGCTTTGATTTGAACGAAAACAACGTATCCCTGTGGTGCGGCTGTCACAGAATAGCAATATTCTGTACGTACGTTTATTTTATGAATCACCCGTACACATATTTGAGAGATGATCGTAAGATCAATTTTAGAGTGGTTTCTGCGCAACATTTTATAAATGAGGCCCAATATGTCTGTGGAGTTCATCAAAAATGAATGGTGAATAGATGGAGTTTGGTCCCTCAATTTTTGCTCTCTAGACCAGGATCACCTTAATTATGCGAGAAGCAGCAGATGTAGGGCAGCTTAGTGTGGTGTGCAGCTGTAGAAGCCCACGGTGATTTAAACACATTGAAATGTCTTGCCTCATCTACTGCCGTGTTAATTTTTGCTTTCAAGTATCATGTTTTGTTTGCCTTATGTGTCTTACTCCCCTCACTCAGCCAGGCATTAGGCTATTTTTAAAATTCCCTACTTGGTTTTGGGGGTTTAATCATCAAAATGACTTTCTGATGCCTGAAAGATTCAGTCATCACCCTTATCAGGATCCTCAATGATGTCTATCTTAGCCAGCCAGAAACAATGCTGAAAATAGAATGGTTTAATACCAGACACGTCTTTTCCAGTAGACTGTGTTTCCTATGGTCTGTTGTTTGGAAAAGCTAGACTCGCTCCCAAACTTGCAGGTATTTATGTTGGTTCCTTGTGATTTAGATGCTCTGCCTTTCATCAACATCACATTGGGGTTTTGGGATCAGATTTTGCAGTGCAGGTGGGTTTTGTCTTATCACCACCCTGATCCTGAAGAATCCTGAACTCCCGGGGCGCCTGAGGTCTGTCTTCAGATTCTTATTTTCTCATTTCTCTCATACATTCCTGTGGGTATGATTTAATTAACCTATTTGTCAGTTGCACTCCGCTCTCTCTGATATCAGCGATGAAGCTGCAAAGTGACTGAGGAAGTCTGGCTCATCAAACGTCAGGGCCAGCCTGCAGATTCTGTGTTTGTTTTGGCTCACTGCCGTGCCATTGTCTTCTGTCAGTTTATCCCAGCGTTCAGGCCAGCATTGGTTAGTTTGTTCCATAGAGACCAGGCAAACGGGAGTTTTCATTAAGAAAACATCTCGATTATTTTGTTCCTAGATCATACCCTGGACACTTCCTGAGACGGTGTGTTTATGTTAGTCAGGGATACATAAAAACTCTCATGATGACGTTTGTATACAGTAGTGCTTGATAAAGCTCAACTCATTGACATCCCCAAGGCTTTGTTTTTTGGTTTGGCTGTTGTTTAGTTGTCTTGGTGTTAGATAATTAATTTTTGTTGTTTTGTGCAATGTTGCAGGAAAACAGAAGCGAGCTTTCATTGCCACTATGATTCAAGGAAAATGGTCTTAGATTAACCTAATGTCTGCCTGATGATTTAATTGGATTCAGTCTCATTTGTTGTGGGCTAATTGTCATGAATGATATGACGTTTTATGGAAAAGTCATCTGAAAGATGTGGATGTTTACTATTGAGGTTCTAGTGTTGCAGTAAAGGTTTTCTTTTGAAAATGCATTTTTTTTCATACAATAAAAGTCAGTGGTGTGGTGTCCAACATTCTTAAAAATACCTTCTTTTGTCTTCCACAGATGAAAGAAAGTCACAGATTTGGAGCAAACAAATTAATTTTCAAATTTTGGTCTTTTTTCACACAAAGCTACTTGGAATGTAGTGCACAAGTCACGTGGGCCATTTCATATACTTTATTTTAGAGCTTGACAGCCCATTGTCACTCAATGTCAATATATTCAAAGGAGTGCTGAGATATTCCTCAAAAATTCACATTTTGTTTGTAAAAAAGAAAGTCATACAGGTTTGGACCAACTTGAAGGCAAGTAAATAATTAATAATGGGTGAATTATTTCTTTAAACAAAAGTGCATTGTTGAACGAAGGTGACCAGGACGCTTGTTCACAAGGAAACAAGTGTGAATAAGAGCACCTTCAACTGAAGCCACATCATTT